CCGTGCCAGCTTCCTGTGCTACAAGCTGCGCTGCAGGCCCTGCAGCGAGGCCGCCCGCGAGAGGCAGCGCTGGCTGCGGGCAGGAGGCTGCAGGAAGCTTTGGGATCCAGTTCAGCAGAGTCCTCCTCTTCATCATATTCCAGCCTCCTCAGTAAGAGCAGGCAGCAAAGGAAACTGGGCAAAGAAGCTGCAGCATCAGTGGGGCTTGTCAAGGCAGTCGCTGGGCGCACGTGTGCCCCAGGTTTCAAGGGAGCGAGGACAGGTGGAAGCAATCAAAGAACCAAAGTGAGGCGAAAGAAACAGGCTGACCCTGCTGCAATCCCAGTCATGGCAGGAGACGGCTTCAGCTGCTGCCCCCAAAGGCGAGACCCACCGAGATGGGTCAAGGCAAGAAACTCAACCCAACTTAATCATTACAGAATTTACTGGTAACCACCCATACCAGGTATGTCAGTAGAAAAATAAAATTTACACAGCTTTATCATAGAAAGATGTGTCTGTTGCAGTAGGTGGGGAAGCACAAAGTCTGAAGTGCATCAGCATTTGCTGAAACAACCATGCTGGGCTGGAGGGGCTCCTTCCTCAAAGGCTCCTTCAAGGAGTTTTGCCTCGTCTTCTGCACGGAGCCAGGGCCGCCCTCCCTTCCCCTTCTGCACGAGCTGCTGCAGCAGAGGGGGAAGCTGCTTGGGGCCTGGTTGTATTTGACCTCAAACTCTTCTGATGAGGTTCTCCCCTTTGTGGACAGTTAGAACCTCGCCCACCTGAGGAGAAGGATTCACATTGAAGTATTTCCTAAATTGCACAGCTTTATTCCTTGGATTACTCTTCGGTAAACAGCTCCTGAAGAGTAGTTTTCTCCCCCAGCTCCCAATGGACCATTTGAGATGAGTCCTAGCACTTCAATTTCTTTCTCATGATAGATCTCTGACCCTGTTTAGGGCAGTCTCAGCACTGAGGACATGAAGTTTGCAGAAGGCAACTGGCCTTACAGAAGAGCAGGTACAACAGGGGAGCTGGTCTGGAAACCAAACAAGCTCAGGAAAAACAGACATGGGATGTGTGTCCTTGGAACCTGCTCTTCTGTGTACGCAGCCCTTCAGCAACCCAAGGACCATGCTCTGGACCACAGCAACACCGTGGCACTGGCTACACTGCCCAGCAAAATCCTGGGGATTCAACCTTAGCTCCCCCAAGGGCTGCCCCAAAAGCACCCAGCTTGCTACACGAGAGCCCTGATCACACACTGTGCCCCAGGCAAGAAGGGAGAGCTCAGAATTGGTTAAAAGTTACTTAAATAATTAAAACACTTCATAAGGAGAGACCACATCGCCTGCTGCTAAGGGTCGGCTGTAAGGATATGTTCATACGGCTCGTCACTGAAACACAGCAGTCACCAGGGCTCTTCGAGGGCCCTGTCAAGCAGAAAACCTGCTGGGACACTGCGGGCTGAGCATTTTTATAACGCAAAACCTGTCCTGCCTCTGCACCCACAAAACAGCAAAGGACAACAACCTGACAGCAGGGGTGCAGGCTGTCCCCGCAGCAGTCACACAAGCACTGTGATGAATTCTGAATACACAACAGATCTCTGGGAACACAGTACCTATGTGAACGTTTTCAGCAATTAAAAAGACAACTAAGAAATTCAAAAATACACGTATTTTTCCAAGCCCAAGAAAGAACAGGGCCACCTGCACGCCCAGGGACTCCCAGCACGGCTGCAGGGTGCAATGCTCGCTCAGCTGGGCTTCACCTCTCCTACAAAAGGTGCACGGTGCCTGAGGGGTCTCAGTGTAATCAAAGTTTACAAAAATAGAGATACCTTTTTACATAATTATTTCCTCTACCCCAGCATTCACATCCCCAACTCTCCAACATGAATTTCTATCTTGCTAAAATGATTTTTCTTTCTGTTGCTCCCCAACTTCACTATAACCATGATCTGGTATAAGAAAAATGGGGCCAGAGAAAAGAAAAAATTAAGTTTCTCATTAAAAAAAAATCACATTAAGGTTCACTGCAAACAAAGCAGCAAGAGGCTGAAACATTAACTGAGCTGTGGACACACCACATTGTTCTGTAGTAATGTTTCTACCCCAAAGCAGGCTGCGGCACATTTTAGTTACACCCTATTACTACTACAGTTCATCACCTGCAAACGGTCCCTAAGCCTCTTTCGGAAGCCCTTTTCCTCTCCTCCAGAAAAAATAAAATCTCACTTGGCACTTAGCGTTACCAAAACGTAACAAATTTGCTCTTTTCACCTTACCTTCGACCAACCCTAAAGCAGCCTGCAGCCCCGCAGAGCGGTGCGTTGCGGTTGGGAAGCATCTGCTGCGGGGGGCACTGCCCGGGAATGCCTGGCTCTCGGCTGCAGTGCCGTGAGAGCACGGGCTGCTGCGCCAGCCAAGGGAATGCGCTCCCCCAACAGATGCTTGTGGCACGCAACCTTTGACATTAGAGTTGGCAAAGAGAATGCGGTCTGCTCGGAGCCTCCGCTACCACCTTGGAGGCAGGAACGGTGCCTGGGCGCATCCTTCAAGCCGTGGAGAAAGCGCACGCCGAGGAACACCTGGAGGCGCAGGGCCCGCGCGCGGCATGCGCTTTGCTCTTCCTTTGCCCTTTGGGTCTCTCGGGTCTGGGGCAAAGCTATAGGGTAGCTAAAATCCGCAGGAAGGAGACCACCACCACGCAGAACGTCTGGCCCACTCCCAGGATGAGGGCTTCGAACGGGATCATCTTCTTCCCGGCAGCTCTGTATACTCCAGCAATGGCAGCACCTGCGCGGAGGGGGAACAGAGCAGTGAAGGGGAGGCCGGTTCCGCGCCGGGGGCAGAGGGGTGCCGCCCCGCCGCGCGTCTCGCGCCCGTGGCTCTCCCGCTCCGCAGGCTCCGACGCCTACTTGTGAGGATGCCGGCCGTGATGGGTCCCACGACGCCCATGAGCAGGAGGCTCAGCGACATGACGCGCCCGTACTTGTGGCGGCGCAGCGTGAAGAGCGCCAGCAGCGCGGCGGGCAGGTGGAAGGCGAGCGAGGACACGAGCGCCCACAGGAACACGCCGTACCACATCTCTGCGGGCCGACAGCGTGAGGCCCCGTCGCGGCCCCGCGGCCCCCGCGCGCCGCCCCCG